CTACTTAACGTTAACTTGTTTGCTCCTTCCTTCCTGTTCTCCCTCCCTCTTTTCCTGTTTCTCTTCTTCCCTCTTTTCTCCTCTTTTCCTCTCTCACGTTTCTCCCTCACTAGGCTGTAAGCACTACGTTTCCATGCTGTCTGTTCACTCCCTTCCCCGCAAGGCCCACCATCGCGGCTGGCATGCAGTAGGTGCTCAATGTCTGCTGAATTAATCGCACACATTTAATACACAAATACACAGTTTTTCACCGAGTCCACCTTAGCCTTCTCTCTCTCCTAGACCACATTTCCAGATTCCTTCATGTTCTGTGACCAAACCCTCCTTGTTCTACAAGCAAGATTCTGAGGGAGGCGGGGGTGGGGCACAGGGAGCAGCCTACACCCTCTGACTTCCCACCAGGCCACAGGCCCCAACCACATCTAGCTACATTTCCAAACGAGATTTCCAGTTTCCTGGCATGGATTCCCTGCACCGGACACCCAGATAACGTTCTTATTTTTCTATCAGACTGAGCTCAACTTGGAGCCTCTCTGACCCACCTCCAGCGGGTGATATGGCCACAGAGGCCATCCTTCCTGCCCTATCTTAATGACGCCAGCTCTTTGAACCTGGTGTCTAGTTTCTGAACTTACAGCTGTTGGGGATTCCCAGCCAACATCTTCTAAAAGCCCCCTCCACCCTCTGTATCCAGTAGCCACAGGGAACTTTTAAAAATATAAATCAAAAATATAAATCGGATCCACCACTCCGCTGCTTTTAAGTATCTCCCCAACTGCTCCCCCTTCATCACACTTACTCAACGTCCTCACAGTAGCCCCTAAGGCCCTCCAAGACCTAGTCACTGCCAAACCCTCACCCCCTAACTACAGCTCCAGGATGGTCTTCTGTTCCTGCCTCAGGGCTTTTGCACTTGCTGCTCACAGCTGGGAACTATCTTTCTCCAGCTCTCCTACAGCTGATTCCTCCTCATGCTCTGGGCTTCAGCCTAAATGCCACCATAATCAGAAAGACCCACTCTGACCACTCCATCTCAAGGTGCTGCCCCCGGGCCCCCCTATTATATGTTCCTCTTTTATTTCTTCCATAGCATTCACTCCATCTGAACTTACCAGATTTTTTTTTTTTAAGATTTTATTTATTTGAGAGAGAGAGAGAGAGAGAGAGAGAGAGAGCATGAGAGGGGGGAGGGTCAGAGGGAGAAGCAGACTCCCCACCGAGCAGGGAGCCCGATGCGGGACTCGATCCCGGGACTCCAGGATCATGACCTGAGCCGAAGGCAGTCGCTCAACCAACTGAGCCACCCAGGCGCCCTGAACTTACCAGATTTAACTATTACTTGTTCCCTCCTGAGCACAGGGATCATGCCTGGATCACTCACCATTAAATCTCTATCACCCAGAAGAAGGCTTGCCACAGAGTAGTAGCAATGGATAAATACGCTTGGTGAATGATTAGACACTTACAGCTTCTCCAAGAGGCCATCCTCCCTGCTCCACAACTTCCTATCTCAGAGCCTTTATTCCTGCAGTTATCTCTCTGGGTATTCCCCTCCCCTGGCCCTTTCCCTCGTTAAACCCCAACTCATCATTGGGTCTTCCTCAAACACTACCTCCTCATGGAAACCATGTCTTAAAAAGCTCCTGCAGCATCCGATTCTTGGCAAACACAATTCTCATCATGTGTTGTCATTATACGTTTATATTATATTACATTGTTATCTGCGTAAGTTGTCATTGAGACCTGTAAGTTCTCTCAGGGCAAAGACTGGGTCTGTGTGGCTCCATGCTTTGCTCCAAGCTCCTAGCATAGAGCCAGGTCCATGACAGGCTTTCAGTAAATGTTTGTTGAATGACTAAATGATTGAATAATGTGTCATGAATCAAAGATTAGGATTATTCCAATTCCATTCTCCAGCGGATGAATGAATAAATTAATGAAGGGGGGTCCAAGGGCCAAGACTCTCCTGGACCACTTTCAAAGCCCCCAGAATCACCAGCAGAGCTCAGCCCAACCTCCCTGGCCACCCAAGGCTCCAGACCAAATTGCAGGGTGGGGAGGGTAGTTACCGTAGTCCTTGGGGAGGGGGGCAGGTGCCGAGGGGTGCACAACAGGCTTTTGCCGGCGCTCCTGGGTGGGGCTGGGGGCCTCGGGGACCAGCTCCTCCTCCTCCTCCTCTTCTTCTTCCTCCCCCCGGAGTGGAGGGGCCATCGGAGCGGGATCTGTCTTAGTCATAGTCTTCAATGGCCCTCCGGGGGGTGGGTGCAGAGTTGGGGGCGGCTTTCAGGCAAATCCTGGAGACAGCGGTCAGTTAGAGAGAGCGCCTCACAGGGTCCAGGGTCTAAGCCCCCAGAAGCTCCAAGGCCCCCAGTGGCTCCCACGCCCCCAGTTCTGGATTTTGGGCAATCACAGCGACGACCATTACCCCTCAGAGGACCCTGGTATGTGGGCCCAGCGCCTAGCACTTCCCCCGGGTCCAGCCCCCCATTCTTCTCCTCCCGCGTCAGGCTCCTCAGTCTAGGCCGCCCCCTCCCCGGGTTTGTTTATCTCGGGAGGCAGGATGCTTCGCCCCTCCCCTTCTCCGTGGGCCTCAACTCTACCCATCTTACCTGGGGCGGATGGGGCTGGAGACCAAAGCCGAGACTGCGGAGACTGGAGTAATGGGATGTCGGTGTCCGGAGAAGTGATGGGGGAGGAGAAGGAGACAGAAGGGGACGAGGCCCGGACGCCAACAGGGGATGGGGGTGGAGAGGGAGGGGCGCGGAGGGCGCATGCGCAATGTTACCCCCAACCAGGCGCGGGGGCGGAGATACTGGGAGGCTCCTCGCTTTGATGAAAAGACTTGAGGCAGCGTCGGGAAGGGGAGAGACAGGGAGGATGGGGAGAGAAAGAAGAGATGGTCACGAAAAAGGATGTGAAACATCAAAACAGAGAGAGATGAAGCAGAGACAAGGGCAAAAGGAGAGGGATGGGAAAGCGGGCCCAGTTCTTTTTTGTGCATACCCCTGGGATGGAGGCTTCCCGCAAGCCCACAAACCAGGCCAGTTAGGGCAGGGGTCTTGGTGTGGTGGTGGTGATGTTTTCTCTCTCTGAGGTCTCAGACCTAACCCCTTCTCCATGCTCACCGTATACAAAGGGTGTCTCAGAGGGATGATTTTGTAGACTCCTTTCATCCTCTTCGGTCAGCAGTCATCATGGTTATCATCACAGAGTGCTCACAGAGCACTTACCAGGCTCAGAGAGGTTAAGCCACTTGCCCAAGGGCACACAGCAAATAGGTGATGGAGCTAAGACTTGAAACCAGACAGCCTGGCTGGAGAGTCTGGGTTTTTAATCACCATGCTACATGGCTGTAGCAGTGTCTAGGGGCAGAGCTGCCAATGAACCTCTCCAAACCTGAATATCCCCCAAGAAGACCCGGAGCCAGCCCAGGGTGGTCCAGGCCTTCCTGGCTCCTTCATCCTGGTTTGGCTGTCATGCCTGCCTGGCTGTGGCCTGCACTGCCCACAACCCCAGCCCAAAGAGGACTGGGTGACTTTGCCTTCCACCCTTCATCCTTCTAATGGTCAGGGCTGGTAAGTTCCATCTCCAAAGTATTCCTTCCAGAATTTCGTCTCTCACCCCCTCACCCCACACCCAGGCCCTCATCCTGGTGCTTCCGTCACCCTCTCCCACCTGGACTGTGACAGCAGCCTCCTCCCTGTTCTCCCTCCTCGTCCCTTACCCCACAACTTGCTCCCTATAATGCAGCCACAGGGACCTAACACATCCCCCATCAGGGCCCTCCTCGACTCGGAGACATCTGCTTGCTGCACCTCATTCTAGAGTAAAAACCAATGTTCTCAACCGCAGCCCCCAAGGCCCTAGGTGAAATTTCCCCCATCATCTCTCCAACGTCTCGTCCTCTCACTCTCCCCTGAATCTACTGCACTACACTGGCTTCCTTTCTCCTCCTCAGTGCAGGACCTTTGCACTGACTGTTCGTTCTGCCCAGAATGCTCCTCCCCCAGACACCTGGTTCCCTCTCTCCCCTCGTTTGGGATTTTACTTATTGGCACCTTTTCAGTGAGAACTTCTCTGCTCTAAAATTGCACCCCCCCCCACATACTCTCCCTCCCCTGCTTCAGTTTTTGTCATAGCAACACTGCCTGCCTCCGGCTGACCCCCTGGATGTTGGGCATTTCCAGGGGCTGTCCTTCTCCCTGGAGCATCCAGCACGTACGCCTCCATACCGGGTCTTCTCATCCAGGTGTCTGCTCAAACGCTGTCTCCTTAGAGAGTCCTCTTCATCCATCCAGCCGCCACCCCCACCCCATTACATTTTCATTTAGTCTTTACAGCGCTTATCACAATCTGAAATTAATCTTATTAGTTTACTAGTTTGACTTCCACTCAAGCAGAATAGGAGTACTATGAGGGCAGGATTTTATTGGCTGTGTCCACTGCTGTATACCCAGCTCAACACCATACTTGGCAAAGGGTATGAGGGGCTCTTCAGAACCAGGTACTATTCTCCCCAAATAAACAATCCTTGTTCTGCTTCGAGACTGTTTTACTGACTGCGAAGTGTCAAGCTAGGGGTAGCAGGAACCTGGCACCAAAGGGAGTAAGGATTGATGGGGCTTGGGCCCAGGTCAGCCCCAAGGTTCAAGGGGTCCGTAGAAGGGGGTGCTTGGAGCCAGGCCCTTGAGGGAGGTGCTACAGTGGCCCAGGCATGGGTGGTGGGGCTAGGCAGGCCCATGTATGAGGACTATCTCTTCCTTTTTTTTTTTTTAATTATTTATTTGACAGAGAAAGACACAGCGAGAGAGAGAACACAAGCAGGGGGAGTGGGAGAGGGAGAAGCAGGCCTCCCGCCAAGCAGGGAGCCCGATGTGGGGCTTGATCCCAGGACCCCGGGACCATGACCTGAGCCGAAGGCAGCCGCCTACCGACTGAGCCAGCCAGGCGCCCCTCTTCGTTTTCCGTCATCTGTCCCACAACATTATCTGTCCTGGTCCTTATGCACTGGGGGTCTCAGTGTCCAGGAGCTCAGGCTTGGCATCCGGTGTGGGAGGTGCAGGAGTCTGGGCAATGACCGCAGCTATGTCAGGCCCTCCACAGATGATGGGATTCCTCCGGTCCAGGGAGCCGGGCAGTCCCAGACAAAGAAGTGACAGAGATGGAGAACATAGGGGAAAGAGGGGAGGGCAGAGAGGACGGCGGGAGAAGTGATGAACATGGAGGCCAAGGTGGGGGGGGGCGCCAGGGAACACAGAGATGTGGGCAGAGAGATTTGTGGGGAGACGGGAAGAGATGTGAGGCCAGAGAGACATTCGTGCGGGGAATAAAGAAGTACGGGGACAGAGGAAAATGTGGGGGCCACGGAGAGACAGGTACGGAGATAGGCCAAACACAGAGGAAGACAGAGAGGGACAGGGATATGAGGGGCACAGAAAGAGGCAGGTGAAGAGAGCAGCGGGGAAACGGGGAGACAGGAGGACGGAGATGGGGCAGCAGCAACATAAAGACGAATGTGGGAAGAGAGAAGGACGTGGGAAAACAGGATCGAATGGGGGCAGCGGAGGCAGAGAGAGACACTGGCAGCCCAGGGGCCCTGGCAGCCTTCATGAAGAGTCCCAGGCCTGAGTTGGAGCTCTGTCCCTGCTCTTCTCTATGTCCCCCTTATGCTCAGGCCATAGTCTCAAACACAGAGCGTCCAGGGGCAGTCACATTGCAGTTCCAGCTGACTGATACTAGCTGCGAATACGAGCCCAGTGCTGCTACATCTGCTGAGCCTTCAGGAAAGACCAAAAATTGTTTCAAAACACTGTTGTTGAGGCCAGAAAAACCCTATCTGTGAGCCATGTCCAACCCACTGGCTGTCAGGCTGAGACACCTTAGCTACAGGGCTACTTTGGGGGGGCTCCTTTTTTTTTTTTATTTTTTATTTTTTATTTTATTTTTTTTTAAAGATTTTATTTATTTATTTGAGAGAGAGAGAATGAGAGAGAGAGCACATGAGAGGGGGGAGGGTCAGAGAGAGAAGCAGACTCCCTGCCGAGCAGGGAGCCCGATGCGGGACTCGATCCCAGGACTCCAGGATCATGACCTGAGCCGAAGGCAGTCGCTTAACCAACTGAGCCACCCAGGCGCCCTTTTTTTTTTTTTTTAAAGACCGTTTTCTTTTTTTAAGATTTTATTTATTTGAGAGAGAGACACAGAGAAAGAGAGAAAACACGAATGGGGTGAGGGGCAGAAGGAGAAGCAGGGTCCCTGCTGAGCAGGGAGTCCACTGAGGGGCTCGATCCCAAGACTGCGGGATCATGACCTGAGCCGAAGGCAGATGCTTAACCCACTGAGCCACCCAGGCATCCCGGAGGGGCTCCTTTCTGAAACCCCTTCCCACTTCTCTTGTCCAGCCAGGGCTGAGAGCCCTGGGACCTCAAACTTGGCTCTGGGGGTTTTAAGCAGGGAAAAGCCCTGGTCAAACTGATTCTTCAAGACCGGATACCCTCCTCCAATACTCAGTAGTAAGATATAGGAGCAAAAGGGCGTTTAGTTGGGGTCGGGGAGACTCTAGGAGATAGGTTGCAAACTCAAGCTCTATTAGGAGCCAGGCAAGGAGCTCTCCAACAGGAGAGGACTAGCCTCCTGTGCAGTCAGACACCTGGCTTGAATCCTCGTTCTGCAACTTCCTGGCTGCCTGACTTTGGGCAAGTGACTGTAGCATCCTGGCGCCTGTTTTTTCATCTGAAAAATGGGGACCAGAGCCGCATCAAGGTCATAGTGAGTTTTCAGTAAGTTATTAACGCTGCCTGGCAGAGAGTAAGGGCTCCTTAAATATTATTAATAAATAGAGCAGCCATTACCCTGCTCTGACCAATAGTTGGTAGGCATTGCCAGATGGACTCTTTTCAAGACAAGCCAGAAACTTGGAAACATGAGTGAAATGTTCTGACTTTTAAATACTGGGCTCTAGTTTAAACGAAAACACATATGGGGGCGCCCGGGTGGCTCAGTCGTTAAGCGTCTACCTTCGGCTCAGGTCATGGTCCTGGGGTCCTGGGATGGAGCCCCGAATCGGGCTTCCTGCTCAGCAGTGAGTCTGCTTCTCCCTCTCCCACTCCCCCTGCTTGTGTTCCCTCTCTCGTTGTCTCTGTCAAAAAATAAATAAAATCTTAAAAAAAAAAAAAAGAAAAGAAAATACATATGCTATGGGGGCCAGGTGGCCCCACTCACCAGGCACAGCATGCCCCGGTGCCCCTGGGTGGCAGGCCCTCCCTGCGCACCTGCTGCCCCAGCTGTTCTATAGCCCGCAGCTGCCCCTGGGGCTGCTCCTGGCGCCCCTGCAGTCTCCGCACCCGCCGCTGCAGCGCTCCCAGTACTGCGCCCAGCCTGGCCAGGGGTTGCTGGGCCCGGACTCCAGGCTGTGGCCCGGCAGGAGCAGGGGGCAGGGGGGTCAGGAACACGGCGGTCGTGGCCTCAGGGCCTCCGGATGCTGACCCCAGTACCACGATGTGCACGGGGCCAGGGGCCACGCAGCTGGCCCTGGGGAGAGGGGCGTGGCCTCCGGTGGGGAGGGAGGCACGCCTGCCTTCTCACTGCTTCGGGAACTCTGCTGCCTCTGGAAGACAAAGCATGGGATTGGGAGTGGGCGGGGAGGGGGGGGGCATCAGAGCCAGACTCCGAGGGGTACTGCCCTCAGGTAAGGCCAGACCTCAAGAGGAACTTCCCTCAGTAAGGGAGGGCTGGGGATCAGACTGCAGGAGGGACTTCCCTCAGGAGAGGAGGGCTGGGGATCAGACTGCAGGAGGGACTTCCCTCAGGAGAGGAGGGCTGGGGATCAGACTCCACGGATCATTTCCAGGTGGGGAAGACTGGGGGTCAGACTCCAGCAGCAGGACCTCCTTTTGCTCACCTTAGCAGGGGGTGCCGGGGAGAAAATGGACAGCACTGCATCAGGCCACAGGTAGCGCACACCCCAACTCCACTGGACGCAGGACGGTGTGAAGTGCTCACTGCACAGGTGCTGGTGGCAGCTGGGCACCCAGTCCTCATGGCCCATGTGCCGCAGCCAATCCCTGATCTCATGACCTGAGCGGGTTCAGTGGGAACCTGCCAGGGACCGTGGGGTTACGGGGTCAGCAATATCAGGTGCAGTCCCAGCCCTCTCTGAGGACATGCACACCCAGAGATCCCTGGGCTCCAAACCTCGGTCTCCCCAGGCCAGAAGCTGGCCCTGCCTCCTACCCAGGCTCTCTCTACCACCAAACCGCATCCCCTACATCAGCTCCACCTTTTAAACACCCAACATCAGCCCACCTCTCCCACCTCTGCTGCCCCTCCCATCCAGCCTTCATCCCCTCCTGGCTGGACTTTTGCAGCAGCCTCCTTCCTGATCTCCCCACCCGTGGCCACTCTGTCCTCCCCCACAATCTGTTCCTCCACATGAGCCTGAGAGAGCAGTTTATAAAACTGGACAAATCTAGAATGTGTCCACATTCATGCGGGTGGGGGTGGGGTGGGGTGGGGTGATAGTAAAAGAGATTGAAGAAACATCCAATTGCAGGTTGTGGACCTCGTCTGCAACAAATCATTCCATAAAAAGACATCTTAACACAGTTGGGGAAAATTGAACATGAATGGGGTATTGGATAGTTGTAAGAAATTAATTTTGCTAGGTATGATAATTGCATTGGTTTATGCTTCTAAAATAGTCTTTTGGAAAAACATTCTGAAATATTTATAGGTAAAAGAAGTAACATCTGGGATTTACTTTAAAATCATGCATTAAAGGTGTTAAGTGGGTGGGGAAAGATGGAAAATATTAGCAAAATGTTGACAACTGGTGAATCTGAGTGACAGATGCATGACAATCCATTCATATAACTCTATTTTTTGTGTATGCTTGAAAACACCTGTTAAAAGGTTTTTAAACAACTCAACAACAAAAATTAACCCCATTAAAAAGGGGCAAAAGACTTGAACAGGTATTTCTCCAAAGAAGATATACAGATGGGCAACAAGCATATGGAAAGATGCTCAATATCACTAATCATTAGGGAAATGCAATTCAAAACCATCAGATATCACCTCATACCCATCAGAATGGGTACTACAAAAAAATCAAAATGGAGGGGGCACCTGGGTGACTGTCGGTTAAGCATCTTCAGCTCAGGTTATGATCTCCAGGTCCTGGGATTGGGCTCCATACTCAGCAGGGAGTCTGCTTGTCCCTCACCCTCTCCACCCCTGCCTGTGCTCACGCACTCTAATAAATAAAATCTTTAAAAAAAAATAGTAAAAACTGAGGGGCCCCTGGGTGGCGCAGTTGGTCAAGTGTCCGACTCTTGGTTTCTGCTCAGGTCATGATCTCAGGGTCACGAAATCAAGCCCCACGTTGGGTTCTGAGCTCAGTGAGGAGTCTGCTAAAAGTTTCTCTCTCCCTCTCCCGCCCCTCTTTGCACTCGTGTGTGTGCGACCTCTCTCTCTCTAATAAATCTTTTTAAAAAATAAATAAAAATTAAAACAAGTGCTGGTGAGGATACGCAGAAACTGGAATCCTGTGCGCTGCTGGTGGGAAATGTAACATGGTGCAGCCACTATGGAAAACAGTATGGTACCTCCTCAAAAAAAGTAAAAATAGAATTACCATATGATCCAGCAATTCTACTTCTAGGTATATACCTAAAAGTATCGTTAAGTGGGGTCTCGAAGAGATATTTGCACACTCATGTTCATAACAGCATTATTCACAATAGCCAAAAGCTAGAAGAAACCCAATATCCATCAATGGATGAATGGATAAAGAAAATGTGGTATATGCATACAACAGAATATTATTCTTAAAAAGGAAATTCTTTTTTTTTTTTAAGATTTTATTTGGCAGAGAGAGACACAGCGAAAGAGGGAACACCAGCAGAGGGAATGGGAGAGGGAGAAGCAGGCTTCCTGATGCGGGGCTCAATCCCAGGACCCTGGGACCATGACCTGAGTCGAAGGCAGACACTTAATGACTGAGTCACCCAGGTGCCCCTAAAAAGGAAATTCTGACACATGCTATAATATGGTGAGCCTTGAGGACATTATGGTAAGTGAAATAAGCCAGTCACACACACAAAATATATGAGGTATCTAGAGTAGTCAAATTCATAGAAAAAGAAATAGAACAGTGGTTTCCAGGGGCTGGGGGGAGTAGGAAATTGGGATCTGTTGTTCAAGAGGTATAGAGTTTCAGTTTTGCAAGATGACAAAGTTCTGAAGACTGGTTGCACAATAATGAGAATATCCTTAATATTACTGAGCTGTATATTAAAAAATGGCTACGATGGTAGATTTTATATGTATTTTACAATTAAAAATACAAATTAAAAATTAAAGCTTAAAAAATGAACTAAATAAAAGCTTTCCCTGTGGGAGTGGGTGGGAATTATCTGAGACTCAAGACTGTCCAAGATGAAGATCCCTTTTTCCAGCTTCATATGCAGCCAGGGGTGGCCACATAATTGAGTTCTGGCCAGTCTGTCCTGTGGCGGCTGTCAGCACCTGTGACACATTAAATGTTTATTTTAAGCAGTTAAATTTTGAGAGTTTGTTATGTGGCATTAGATAACTAAATAGTCAGTCATTCACATTCCACCTGCGCAATACCTTCCATATCTGTCACATTATTTATTTAATATTTTTCTTAAAATTGACCAACTTTAAAAATGAAACAAAGATACCTCAAAGAGAAACTTTATACCACAACTGAAAATGGAAGACCAGTATCAATTCCATGAACAGAAGTTGACCAAAAATATAGCTGGATACCTTCATCTGCTGAGGGCCCCGAGGCCCTCTCTGTCAAAAGGGCAGACTCAGGGGTGTTAGAGAGTGGGGGACACCACCATCTATAGGAGACAAGGTAACAAATTCAGGCACATGCACACAAAGGAATACCACACAAGCCTAAAACAGAATGTGGAGGCGCTCTATGCACTGACATGCTATTTTCAGGCATATACATTCCGTGAAAAAAGCAAAGTTCTAAACAGAGTATATCTGCTTTTAGTAATTGTGGCAGGCTCGGTAACGGCCCCCAAAAGATATCCATGTTCTAATCCCTGGAACCTGTGAATACTACGTTGCACGACAAAAGATGTGATTAAGTTAAGGCTCTTGAGATGAGGAAGTCATCCTAGATCGTTCATTTGGGCCCAACATGCAATCGCAAGGGTCCTTTTAAGAGGGACGAGCGGATATTACAACAGATGAAAGAGAAGGTGATGTGACCACAAAGGCAGAGGTTGGAGTGACGTGGCCACCAGAAATCGGAAGAGGCAAGAAATGGATTCTCTCCTACAGCCGGCCTTGCTGGGAGGGCAACCCTGCCAACACCTTGGTTCTGGCCCAGTAAAACTGACTTGCACTTCTGGTCTCCAGAACTGTGAGAGGTTAATTTCTGCTGTTTTAAGCCATCAAATTTGTTTCAGTATCCACAGGAAACCAATACAGTGATGAAGGGGGAAATCAGGACACGTTTTCAGATTTGCTTGTATTTGCATAAAGAAACTGGAAAAGACACATTAGAAAGGAGGTGGGCAGGATGAACAGAGATGGGCATGGGAGCAAGACTTCCCAGCCAAAGGGCCGACGGACGGGGCAGCTGGGGGTGGGGGTGCAGCTGGTCAAAGAGGACAGAGGGGCTGACTCAGAATCTGAGCTGTGGCACCCAAAGAGCAGAACCCCAGGGCACCCAGCCAGGACCTCTGGCTGCCACAGTCCTTTTCGCCTTTGTTTGGGATCCAAATCCTCCCATCAACCCCATTCTGCCTGGACACACACAAGAAATCTCTTGCAGCAGCCTTCCCCACCCCCTCCTCCTTGGCAGAGACTGACAAGTGACTACTCCACACCTCCTTTTCTTCTTCCTTACTAACAAAACTCCAACTTTAGTTGAGGTCAGCATGTGCCGTGCTGAAAGACTATGCTTCCCAGGTTCCTTTATGTAGGTGGGGCCATGTTCTGGCCAGTGAATGCTTTCGTGTTGTGTGAGAAATCTGGGATGGTACCTTAAATGCGAAGGGTCCTCAAATGGATCAGGACAGTTCAAGGGGCAAAGGAGGAAAGTATCATGAAAACCGTCTTCCTCACTTGGTCTTTTTCTTATTCTCCTTTGTTCCTCTGGATAGCAACACTTTTATAATGGGCAATCTAAAAATCCACTTTAGGGGCACCTGGGTGGCTCAGTCAGTTAAGCATCTGCCTTTGGCTCAGGTCATGATCCCAGGGTCCTGGGATCAAGCCCCAGATCAGGCTCCCTGCCCCGTGGGGAGCCTGCTTCTCCCTCTCCTACTGCTCCCCCTGCCTGTGTTCTCTTGCTCCCTCTGTCAAATAAATAAATACATCTTTTAAAAAATAAAAATAAAATCTACTTTAAGTGGACAGCCAGTGCCCTCCTTTTCTATAGAATAGTGTAGTCTCGTTGGTCATCTTTCTAGATCATGTAGTGGCATACACTGCTAGAAGTCCTTCTTTTTAAAAAAGAAAAGTTAAAATCAATTCAAAATGTCTGCAGGGTGGTTAAATGCCCAGCTAAATTACTACATTTCCCAGTCTTCTTTGTAGTTGGGGGTGACCAATGATGAAGAACTCACCATTGGGTGGGGTTTCTGGGAAGGCTTTATAAAGGGGGCTAACTCAGTTTACAGTTGGAGCCCCTTTTGCTCTTCCTTCTCTTTTCTTCTTACCAGGTGATGATGGCTGGGGCACCTGGCAGCCATCTTGCACGGAAGCCACATGCTAAGGATGACAGCACAGAAAGATAGGAACCACATCATTATAATATAACCACAATCATTATAATGATTGTGGACCTGCCACACAAGTGCTGGTCTGTCAACCTCTGTATTTGTTTTATTTGAGAGAAAAATAAACCCTTGGTGGATTCTATTATTGTTCAAAATATTTGCTGCCCTTCTCCACATGAGGATTACATATCTCTACTGCAGTGACCTGAGGCTTGACATAGACTTGCTTTGGCCAAAGGACTGACAGTGACATGGGCCACTTCTAAATATAGCATTTATGAGGAGCCATTGGGTGATTCTTCCTACTTTCTCTTTTCCCCCTCCTACAAGACCAGCAATATTCTATGCAGGGGAGGCTCCTTTGGTCTGAGTCCCAGGTTAGGATATTGTAGAGTAGGTCCACAAATGGTCTGCAAAGGACATAGTGTGAATGAGAAATAAACCTTTGTTATACTAAGAGATTTTGTGTCTGTTATTGCAGCATAACTTAACCACGCTGTATCCTATCACCTCCATAATTTTTTTTAAGCCAATAATATTTCACAACTTTCTTACTGCCACCCAAATACAATTCCTAACTCATAGGCTTCCCATTAGAGATGACTCTCGAATGTTCTGAAAGGGCTGAAAACAGAACTAATGAATGTTTCCTCTGGCTGCCTGGCAGGCTCTTGTTATTCCCTGGCAGCCACTTCCTTCGATAGGTTTCACCTTGTTCCTTCCTGCCATCCATGCCTTCTCCTGAATCTCCTTAGGAAACAGCTCCTCACCAAACTCTTAACCATGTGACTTCTCCAAGACCGACTCGGCTGTGAGCCTTGAGGTGGAAATGGGCAGCCACTGATGAGATATAAACAACATAGACATGAACTGATTTTTGTAAAGTCATCTGGTTGCTCTGTACAATTGTCATTGTTCTCCTCGTTATTATATGTGAAGCACTTAAGAACAGTGCCTGGCATACAATAAGTGCTCTCCAAATAAGTTATTGTTGTTCTTGTAAGGGACGCAGAAGTATAGGCAGGGAGGCCAGCAAGCAGCCATCTCAATGTCTCATTAACAGAGGATGGCGGCCTGAACTAACTGTGAGAGCAGAGGTCATGAGAAGTGATCAGGCTGGAGATGTAGGGGTTTTCTGTTATTTCCTAATAGTTCAGTTAGGATATTCCCATTTGCATTTATAACTGTGTTGCCAAGGTATTAGGGGTTTTGTTGTGATTGATGCAGGGTAGGGATGTGTTTGGAGGGTAAGTCAAAGGATGGGTTGATGGACTGGACGGGGGACAGCAGTGCTGAAGAAAGGATGGGGAGTTACTCCCAGGTTGGGTGTTCAGTTCTTCAATGTTGGACCCCTCACCTATCCATGAGCTCTGTCCGGACAGGAACAAGATCTGTCAGGGTCCTCTGTGTCCAGCAGGGGCTTCCTTACTCCAGGAGACACTGAGAGTTGCTGAATTAATAAACAGTACCAGAGTGACATATCTAAAAAGCGATTCTGGACGCGCTGATTTAGTTTTAAAGACCCCTCTGCGTTACTCCTACTCTGCACCAGGGTTCCTCAAGGGACACGGATTGCTGGGTTTCCTAGGGGAGGCCATCTGAAATGCATTAATGAAATTCATCCAACAAATATTTACTGAGCACCCACTATGTGCGAGGCACTGTTTGAGGGCTGGGGAAATAACAGAGAACAAGACAGAGAAAAATCTCTGCCTTCATGGAGCTGACATTCTAGTGGGGGAGTCAATAAATGAATACATCAAATATGTGATATGCCAGATAGTGATAAGCATTAAAAGGAAAAATAAAGCAGGAGAGAGTTATCATTTTACCTAGAGTGGTGACCATAAAGGTAAGACCTTTCCAGGCAGAAGGGAAAGCACAAGCAAAGTCCCTGGGGCAACAGTGTGCCTGGCATGCTAGGGGAACACAGAGTTGCCAGTGACACTACAGCATAGTGGTAAGGTGCAGGAGGAAGGAAATGAGGTCATACAGATATTGGGGATCCAGCTCCTGTAGAGTTTTGTAGGGCTGTCTGCTCCAGTCTCACCATTTTGTCTTTTATAGAGCGAGGTGGGAGCCAGGGGAGGATCTGAACAGAGGAGGACTCTGATCTGACTCAGGAGTACACAGGTTCCCTGTGACTATGTGTGGGGATCAGAGTGTGGGTGTGGGTTGACCGCCGAAGAGGCTACTAAAATAGTGCAGTCAGGAGATGGTAATGGCCAGAACCAGAATGCAGACAGAGAAGAGGGTCAGAAGTGGTCAGTTCTGGATATATTTTAAAGGGAGAGCCAACAGGATCTGCTGATGGACTGGATGAGGAATGCGTCCTGGCCCATTTAGACTAAGGCCACCAGGGACACACCTGTAGTCCAACAGAGTCAGGTTTATTTACCATGGCAATGAGGGAAACTGTACACTGGAGGTACTATGAGGAGTCTCACCCAACAAAGGAAAAGACAGGTTATTATTTGGATTTGAGAGAAGGGTGAATTTTAGGTGAAATGTAAATGAAATTGTTTGGGTAGGCTTAAAGCAAAGCAGAACTGTGTGGATAGATATCAGGTCTGGATTGTGAAGTGAGTCCAGGGTCCTGTCTCCTCGAAAGCAATAAAGTTTAGGTAGACGTGGAAAACTGTGTCCAGAAATGCCTTACCTGAAGCTCTGCACCTGGACAGAAGCAACTGAGGTTGCTTCTCAGTGTCAAAATGACAACTCCTCCAGGCATTAAGTGAGATGTTTTATTTTTACCGATGTAACTCCAAATGGCGAAGTTTAGGACAGCCTATGATTTCAGAGAACAAAGTTTCCTAGTAAAAAAGCAGCAGTCACTCAAAGGGGATTTTTTTTTTTTCACTTTACATCTGCAGCATGTCCCTGAGAAAAATGTAGAAATATTTTTCCAATTAACTCTTCACCCAGATTTTCCCGTGTCTTTTAGTCCAGCCGGGGAACAATAAATGGGAAGACAGATTTTTTTTTTTTAACAGTTCAAGCTAATTTTTACTTTCTCAAGTACGAGGAAAGAAAAGAGGTAGGGATAACTGTAAGGTTACCAGCCTGACAACAGGAAAGATGGAGTAAGCTCTTAACTTAAATAGGAAAGGTTGTGGAAGGTTTGGGAGGGAGACAAGATCAGGAGCTCAGTTTCGGATGTTTGGAGATAACGAGTGGGCAGTTTTAGGCTCCTCCCTCCACAGTCCCACTTCTCACGCTCGCCCCTTTCACTACCCGTAGTTAGTAGTCTACCCCTGCGCTTTAACACATCTGCACCTTCGTATGTGCCGTATTTAGTGCAGAGAAGACCGTCTCTTCACTTTGCTACCCTTACTTTTAGACACCTGCAAGCTGCCCAGACGCCCGACACAGGGGCAGCTGCTCACCCTCGGGCCCCGCCCCCAGAAGCCCCGCCTCGCGCTTGCGCTCACTTGTAGAAGCTCACAGGGCGGTTGTCAGCGCCCAGTCGGCCCGCAGTGTTGGAGCAGTTCGGAGGCCGGCAGTACTTTGGCTTGGCTGTTCGACCCTGTTGAGTCCCGCCCAGTCTGCAGTCTTACTTTGGTTCTCGCCGGACGCCGCCGAACCCGGCCCCGCCCGCTCTCCGCCTGCCTCACGTGATGGGCCCTGGTGCCTCGTCACGTGCAGGGGAGGGAAGAGAGCGCCTGCGCGCTACGCGCCCTGCCGTGTTACCAGTTACGTCCTGGTCACGTGGCAAACGGGGACAGGCGAGGCCTTCGGCGCAAAGCCTGTTCCTAGCCACCCTGACCTTACCACGTGTTGGGGGGAGAGGTGGAGTCACGGCTTTTCTGAGCCTGCGCCAAGTGGTCCGTCTCGTTCGGCTCCACCCTACGCTTACATCCGGGTGACTGCTATTGCGTGGGTAGTTGCTCGGGGATGGGGAGTGCAGTAAAAAGCGAACTGGACGCTTTGGTCTTAGTTACCTAAAAGTTAAAACCTAAATGTCTGTTAATGATAAAAAAACACAAACCGCATAAAAAACGCCACTTCCCTTGATCAGGCATCAAGTAAACTAGCTATGGCTCCACCCTGCCATATACTTCGCTCCGCCTCTCAGCCCTCATTGGTCAAAACCGCCGCCCGGCAGCCCTGACATTGGCCAGACGCGGACCGCCGCGTCCAATGGGCGGCGGCGGCGGCTTTTCCCGCGGCCGTTTGCTCTTCTAGTGGGTCGCGGAGGCGGCGGTGGCGGTTAAGGGGCGTAACGGTCGCCGGGCTCCGGCACGACGATGGCAGCCTTGGGGCCCGGAGGCTACGCGCGGAACGATGCAGTCGAGAAGCTGCCGTCCGTCACGGTGGGAGTTCCGGCACGGAGGGGCCAGGGCTCTCCGCCCCCCGCTCCGCCGCTCTGTCTCCGGCGGCGGACACGACTCTCGGCGGCGCCGGAGGACACGGTGCAGAACCGGGTGAGGAGCTGTTTGCCCTGCCCACCCCAGGTTCAGGGTCCCTGGGCCTCCCCTGGTCCCGACCTTGGATCGTTGGCCCCACCTATCAGCCCTCGGCTCATCCCCTCAGGCTCCTCTCTGGCCGGCTTCGTTTCAAGGTCCCGCCCGGTTAGCCAGGGCTCTTCCCACTCCCCCGTCTCCTCCTCTCTCGGGTAATGCCCAACATTCCTAGCTCATTTCTCCCTTCGCTCCCAGTGTATTTTAGTTGTAATCACCATCGGCTCCCTCCTTCCTGCGTATCCCTTCAGTCACCTTTATTTTTTTTTTTTTTGAGATTTTATTTATTTATTTGACAGAGACAGTGAGAGCAGGAACACAAGCAGGGGGAGTGGGAGAGGGAGAAGCAGGCTTCCCGCTGAGCAGGGAGCCCGATGTGGGACTCGATCCCAGGACCCTGGGATCATGACCTGAGCGGAAGGCAGCCGCTTAACAACGGAGCCACCCAGGCGCCCCTTCAGTCACCTTTAGATGTCTCTCTGGGCCCTTCCATTTTTGTTGACCTCTCTCTTCGCTGGATCTTTAGGGTATCTACCAGTGTTCAGTCCCCAGTCCTACCTACCTCGTCTGTCCCTCAGTTCACCTTCTCGCCTTACCTGCCTTCTCTTTCCTTCTCCCTTACCAGTGTGGAATTCTTATTACCTATTGCCACCCCAAATTATGGAGACCATTTGAGTAATTGTAAAATCTCAGCAGCGCTTCCGGGGGGGGGGTGCATACAGAACAGTTCCCTGAGTCCTTAGAGAAAGATTTTAGAGTAGGTAGAAGGAATTCCATTAGCACAGCAGCAATTTAAAGAATTGTTCTCCAACTCTCTGAGCTACAAAGTCTGTTTTTATAAAATAGAAGTTACAATAACCATACCATAGAGTTGCAGAGAGCAGAAATGAAATTGTGGCTATGACCTGCTTGGCAGAGTCCAGGTAGAGGGTGGAAACATGGTAGATGCTGGTGGATCTCGTTCCTGCCACAAGGATTCCTGCTGCACTCTGATTATATTACCCATTCCTGACTGCAAGGCCTGGGCAAGTGGGCCCTGCCCACCTCTCTGGCCATACCTCCATTGTCCTCCCTCTTACCAATTTTCAGTCACCCTAGCCTCCTTTCTGTTTTCCTGAGGCTCCAAGCTCTTGACCACCTCCTAAGTGCTGAGTCCTCTGGGCTTTTGGCTGCAGTCCACCTGGCTGGCTCCTCATCCCTCAAGTCTCAGCCTGAATATCCCTACCCTGAGAGGTCTTCTTGAACCCCAGCCTAAGACAGGCATCTACTTTAATCTTTTACCTAGCATCCTGTACTTCATAGCCCTTATCTTCTATGTTCCTGAAAGTGCCTTGTGAGCTCTAACCTGTGTATAAAATAGAGGAATAGCAATAGCAATTTCAGAGAGGCAGTAAGCAATGTGGTTAAACAGCCTCTGGACCCAGACTGCCTGGGCTTAAACCTTAATTCTGTTTTGTTTTGTTTTTTAAGATTTTACTTATTTATTTTGAGAGAGTGAGAGAAAGTAAGCATGAGCCGGGCGCAGAGGGAAAGAGAGAAGCATACTCCCCGTGGAGCAGGGAGCCTGATGCAGGGCTCTATCCCAGGACCCTGAGATCACGACCTGAGCCAAAGGCAGACACTTAATCCACTGAGCCATGCAGGTGCCCCCTTAATTCTGTTCTTGTTAGGAACTTTTCTCTGCCTCAATTTCCTCATCTGAGGAAATAAGGCTGTAATATAAATAAGAATAATGAGGATAATAATGTAAATATGTATTTATAAATATAAAGATTCCCTTGTAGGGTATTTGTGAGGATTAAGTGAGCTCACATATCTTAAGCATTAGAACAATACCTGGCACATTGCAATTACTCTATTAGTGGTAGCTGCCACTGGTTTGATTGTGTATTTTGGGTAATTGGTGTCATTTATTTATTTTTCTTGTTTGGTGGCACAGAGTCCCTCTGGCTGACATAAGATCTACTTTAAAAATTACCATTATGGGGTGCCTGGGTGGCTCAGTCGGTTAAGCATCTGCCTTTGGCTCAGGTCATGATCCCGGGGTCCTGGGATCGAGCCCACCGGGCACCCTGCTTGGTGGGAAGCCTGCTTCTCCCTCTCCCACTCCCCCTGCTTGTGTTCCCTCTCTCACTGTGTCTCTCTCTGTCAAATAAATAAAAAAATAAAATAAAGTAGGGGTGACCATTGTGCCTTCTTTCTTGGGTTGTTGTGGGGTTTCAAATCTTTCATCCATATAAAATACTTAGAAACTTATTCAGAGGTCACCTTCTCCGTGACGCCTTCTCTCCTTCCCCTATACTCCCAATCTCTTCTCTGCTTTATTTTTCCCTTTGCTCCTATCATCACCTGACATCTATTTTACATATTTGTTGTTTTTTATGTCCTCCCTCCCATCACCACTAGAATGTGAGCTCCAGGAGAGCAGGGATTTTGTCTGTCTTCCTCACCATTCTGTGTCCTTCAAAGTCATGTTGAGAAGATCAGGTGTCAGCTGTTGGTAGCCTGACTGTAGAAGCTCGGTGTTAGAGGTCACAGGGACTGAATGGGTGGCTGAAGCACTGGTGCCACGAAGGACCTCCTGGGACAGGTCCTTCTGACTTGGACTTTTTCCCCACAGGTGTCACTGGAGAAGGTACTTGGCATCACGGCCCAGAACAGCAGTGGCCTAACCTGTGACCCCAGCACAGGCCACGTGGCCTACCTAGCAGGGTGAGTGAATGGTGGGTTTTCCATATGTAGACTGCAGATAAGCTGCCTACCCCTGAGGGCTGCAGAGAGGATTCCCTGGGCCCATCCGTGTCTAGAATAGTACCTGGCCTGTGGTGAGCACTATGAAAGCCTTATTGTGACTGCAGGTGGGAGGTGGCAGTGATTCTGGGAAAGGCCCAAGCCGTGGTGTCAGACAACCTGGATTTGTGGCCCAGCTCCACCACGTGATCCTCTTGGGAGCACCTCCGTTTTCATCCATAAAACAGAACTAGTGATATCCTTCTCTTGGGTAGTTGAGAGGACTGAAAGATATCCTCTTGCTGTTGATTACACAAATACTGATCTAGCCTGGCACTGTTCTAGGCACTGAAGGGACCCTTTCATGCCTATAGGGCAAGCCAGACCTGTAGTTATTCTTAATGAACTGTGTCCGTTATTCAGTCTTTGGGATGCAGTCCAGGATAGAGGACAGGGGTGGGCTCTTGAATCTGACAGCGTATGGATTCATAACCCCACTCTGTCCCTGACCAGCTGGGTTGCCCTGGGCAAAGGATTTTTCCCTCTCTGGGCTGCAAGTTTCCTCATCTCTAAAAGCGGACTAAGATGTCCGACTTCACCTGGCAGTTATGAGGATTTAAAGAGATTATGCTCATAAAGTCTTTATTATTTATTAGCCCAGGGTCTGACAGAATAGTTACCACAGAGGAAGTGTTGGTTTCTGTTTAAGAATATATTATTTAATAATGTGCAGTGCCCTAGAATTCTCAGCGTAGATACCTGGAGGGGGAGGAGAGACCCTTCTGTTCAGAGGGAGCCTTATTTATGTTTGGGCTCTTGTATTGGGAATGGAATCATCCCTGGACCCTAGTACGCCCTTTAGTTTGGGCACATTTTCATCTTTCTCCCCAGCTGTGTGGTGGTGATTTTGAATCCCAAAGAGAACAAGCAGCAGCACATCTTTAACACTGCCAGGTAGGCTGGGCCCTGGGCTTTGGGTAGGGGTGGGACCAGGGTCCTGGCACCTACCCCCTTCCCCACATTGCTTGGAAGCTTGTAGGTGGGTGGCTAACTTCATTCACTCACCCACTGGTTCAGCTACATTCTGCTGCTTTGTGCTAGGTAGTGTTCCCGGTGCTGAGGACAGTGAGAATCTCTGCTCTTGTAGAGCTGATAGCTCAGTGGGGGAGACGACTAAACCAGTTGGCAAATTACTAGCCAACTCTGACCGTTGCTGTGGAGGAAAGAATGAGGATGTGTTAGGGCGGGTGTGCAGGCAGAGAAGGGTGGGGGAGAGGGGAACCATATCAGAGAGCCCAGGGAGGACCTCCTGGAGGCTGAGAAGTAAGGGGGTGACCCCTGTGAAAGTGTGGGGAGAGTGTTCCAGGTAGAGGGAGCAGCAAGCACAAAGGCCTTGCCTTGTGAATCTTGGAGTTTTTTGGGCACCTGGGTGGCTCAGTCGTTAAGCGTCTGCCTTCAGCTCAGGTCATGATCCCAGGGTCCTGGGATCGAGTCCCACATCAGGCTCCTTGCTCAGTGGGGAGCCTGCTTCTCCCTCTGCCTGACGCTCCACCTGCTTGCGCTCGCTTGCTCTCTCTCTCTGGCAAATTAATAAATAAAATCTTAAAAAAAAAAAAAAAAAGAATCTTGGCGTTTTTGAGGAGCAGCCAGGGAGTCCTGTGCCTGGAATGAAGGAGTGAGTGAGGGAGAGATGAGGCGGAGACAGAAGCCACTTCTGGGTATTGGCAATTTTTAAACTTTTTGTATTGAAATAATTTTAGACTTTATTTTTTTATTTTTTTTAAAGATTTTATTTATTTATTTGAGAGAGAAAGAGAGAGAGAGAGCACATGAGAGGAGGGAGGGTCAAAGGGAGAAGCAGACTCCCCGCCAAGCAGGGAGCCCGATGCGGG